AAGCTTAGCGGTGTGCCAGCCTAGAAGGAGGAAAGAAAATGAAGATGGCGGCTGCCAAGATACATTCCTTTCTTTTAAAGGAGAAGACGGGTTGGGCTCACCCTATTACTCTTCAAGGAGAAAGGATTTCCAAAGGATCAAGTGCTTCCAAGTGAGGCTGTTACTTATCTTCTTGAAATAAGATCATAAAGAGAAAGTTCAACGTTGTACCTCACTTTGCATTACATGAAAGCAAGGGAGGTTCTGGTAGATACCTCTATAAGAGGCAGATGCCTCTCAATAGATTTAGTGGCATTGGGGACCCAGATACCCAGCCACATTGACTATTTATAAAGGAGTCGCTTCCTCTGCGTGGATTCATCATCTTTCGCACCAACAGAAGAAAAAGTTGGCAACAATCCAGCGAATGGCTCAGCTGTGGGTCAATACAGCGTGCCGTAGACAGTGTCTTATGAGGCGGTAAAGGTCTTAGCCGAAACTACTCCTATTGATATTCTCCTACAAGACAACTACTTTTGACACAAATTAAAGAGGGAAGGCCTGGTGGATCCACCCGTGAATCTCCGTGAAGACCCTAATAGATGGAAGAGCATTCTTCGGGAGAACATGCTAAATGAATGGAACCAGCGGTGGGTGACGACGCCAAAAGAAGCTATGCTAAGAAAATACTTCCCTATCGTTAGTTCAAGAATAGAACAGACATGGATTCTCCCGGACTACTGGGCCTCATAGTTCCTCACGGGGCATGGAAGTTTCCGAGCAAAGCTCGTTGAATATGGTAAGCACATTAGACTCCATATGCCCAAGTTGCAGAGTACCGAAGACCGCCGAGCAAATCGTCCTTGTCTGTATTTGTAGGCCAAGTTGTTGAGGGAGACGGGCTTTAGGTCTCCTGACGAAGAGCGATCTTCCTTAACTAATGACTTAGGAGAACTACCCGTACTGCAAGTCCTTTAAGTACGGGTGGAAGGAACTAGTTGGTTCAACACACTTTTCATTGTGAAGAAGACATGGAACTGCATCCGGAAGGCCACAAGAGAGGATGAAAGAGGACGTCGACTGAAAAGAGCAAGCTGTGTGGACAGCTGAAAAGAAAACGTAATTGGTCTGAATGCAGCAATGAGATGTAATGCATGCGTTGCTACTCTCTGCATAACACCCGTATTGCCTTACCGGTAGGGTAGGGATCAAATAAAATATTAAAATAATTAATTTTAGCATATCAATAAAGCTGCTGTTTGTGAAACGTTGAATGCAATAAAATTGAAATACTTCATAATATAAAACCGCTTAAGAAATATTTTTTTTTTTTTGACCGGAAGATGACATCGTAGTCAGAGGCACCGAATGTATTCCTGCACAAAAATACCGTATAAAGACTGTTTTTCTTTCTAACAAAAGGCTTGTTCTCAAATTATGAAGTTTGCGGCTTTTCAGTTTAAGACGAGCCGAGACATCAAACAGTGGGTAGAATTAGTTGTGACAACTAATAGGATTACAGCTAACTCGTGAATCCACAGCAAGCGGGTCATGTTTGTATCCAGTTTGCTCCTTTCAGATGATTGCTGTATTGTTTACCTCAACTCTGTCCTGATAATTTTGGCTATTGAAATATTGTGTATAGTAATCATTTATTTTATGTCAGTTTATTTATTTTATAATAGTTTTTGTCTTGTTTTCTCAAAAACTCAGTGACTTTTGCCCCGTATAAAAATTCATCGGAAGCACAAGCAGATTCAAAATGAGAGACTTCCGGGCTAAAGTCCTCCAAAATAAATAATTGGTATTTATATTTTTATTGATCAATTTTTGTTTCTACCAATGATCTGAAGTAAATAAATAAACAATTATATTATTTTATTATAAGGTATTTACATCAGCTACTAAATTGGTTTTAAGGTTCTTCCCCTTTAATTAATTAGTTAATTAAAATTATCAGCTTTATAGATACTGGGTGTGTCCCAAGATGGTTTCAAGGCCTCAGGGTCGATCCACGGCCATAGAAACAAATGAAATTAGTCTTTTAGCTTTGGGAGTCAGTGCAACTGAGGTGCCCCGCTTTCCTTTATCTAAAATATTACTTCAATTGTTTATTGCATGAGGGGATAGGTAATGAATTATAAAAAAAGACAATTTGTTAATATAAAAGAGTCATATTAAATTAAAATTACATAAAAAAAAAAACTTATTCTACTTCACATCAAATAAATACACAAAATATTTTCTACAATACTGATTTCTATAGGACATTATCTAAGGCACTAAATTAGAAAAAGAAGACATATTTACAAACTAAAATATAGTCGAAATTTCATAATAAGTTAAAGAGAAGGAAAGACTGTCGATCGAAATGGCAACCTATAGGTCATTGGCTATAGGTGCTATAGGTCGTTGCCCTATAGGTGTACTATAGGTTATTGGCTATAGGTACTATAGGTTATCGCCCTATTCATCTTCACCGCTCATATAATACTTGAGGGCCGTGTTAGCTGCCGCTTGGACCACCTCAGGCTTGCACGGATTGACGCCCCAGAAGGATCCTGGACAGCCCAGCAGCTCGAAGCATGAGTACCTGCAAGACAACAATAATATATTGATATATCAGCTATTATTAGTATATATATATATATATATATATATATATATATATACATTATAGTTTATTAGATTATGGCTTTATTACTAAGACCACTATTTCGATTAATCTATTAAGACTGAAATATAACTTGTTGACGCGAGGGAATAATTTGAATTATAATAATAAACCAAAACATGTGAACAAATTACAATATAACCCTTGCCAATAAAGGTTCTACTTCGATTTTTTTTTTTAAAGTTGTGTAGAGAGTTTAGTAACCTTTCAAATAATCATGGTTGAATAATACATAACATAATTTTTTCAAATTTGATTAAAAACATTTTATCAATTCACGGCTCAGTGTTTTAAGCTCAAACTGTTTCAAAATACTCACAGGATATCAATGAATAATAAAGGTTTTCTTTATTAAATTCATGAGTTAATAAACTCATTGAAATTGGACAATGTTTATTAACGATACAGCCTATAGCAATACACACATGTTTTTATTTATCATCATACACGCAATACACTAATTTATCTATATTATATTGTCCTTCGCCCAGTAACCAAAATACTACGAGAATTATTTACAAGGGTCAACTAGTATATAATCCCCACGTATATTATTACAGTAAGGTTCGAAATCAGTTTTGTACCAGATATAAGCTCAAGTCATGCTCAAATACCATGAATGGGGTACCGTTCTCCACTTTTGTTTTTCTTTCTAAAAGAAAGTCGATACAAACATTTTGCTAGGCTTCAATACTGGAACGGTGGTAGGTCTGTAGATCGATACGGGACAAATTGGATCTTGAAGATTTTGATGCATACAGCAAGACCCGGATAGTTCCTCCGGAATCATCGGATCCTGCGTATTTAAGCCCAAAAGCGTACTATTTTCGAGATAACGCAAGGCATAGGATTCGCATTCACACAATCTTACGTTAATTGTAGTACTGTCATTGAATACATTTCTCATTTCGTCTACTTTGACGTCTCTCGATCGGCAAGCATTACCATCGTTAATTCTTCACCAAATCTCAAGATTGAGCCACCAATTTCGAAGGCTTCCTTCTCTTTCAGGCGGGTAAAATAATCCAATCACTCCGAAAATTCAGGCAAACAAATTATGAAAGAAAATAAACATTATTTGCGAATAACTAAAAAATTACACACTTTTCCCTTGGTCATGCCTATGATTATATAAAAAATTACTAAATTCCCTACAAAAGGAAAAAATAATCATCGATATCGATTAGAAATTTTTCCAATATTTTTTTCATTTTATTATTTTTTAAAATTTATTTTCGATTAATATTCATTAGGAGAGTTCTATTGAATCCCAATTCATTTGAAAATAACTATATATTTGGCATATAGCTATAGTATCAGTACGATGTTGAAACAATTTTTACTGACTGAAGAAGGATAGTGGGTTCAAATTTTATTTTTATGGGAAAGCAGAGTTAGATTTGTATTTCGAACATGTATAAAGCCTCAAATACGAATATATATAAAAATGATTATATAAAAGATTACTAAATTCCCTTCAAAAGGAAAAAAAAAAATCATGGAAATCGGACAATTTTTAGCGAAGATACAGTTTATTGAAATTTGTAAACACGTTTTGGTTCCAAACAAAAATGAAGATTTAAATTAATTTTTGTTTCCTTTGTCGATTATATTTATCGATGAAATAACAATTGATTTCTTTATCTTTTGATACGTTGCATTATTTTATTTTCTTATTAATTTAATTAAATAATTAACATTTTCTTTTTTTTATCTCTCGTTTGAATCAAGATCTGATAAGATTTCGATTTATTAATGTTATAAATTAAAGAATTTTGATGATTTTAGATGTTAATTACAAAATTTTAGGTATTTTAAATTTTTACTGTATGATTTTGCATATTTTGAGTTTTTTACTACACGAAAATCCGGTCTCTAATTATAAGCATTACAGTAGAAGCTCTAAAAGAATTACTGTTACTGTAAGCTCAATAATATTTTCAGTTAGTTCTTTTACTGGCCCTCAAGGGCCACTTAAACATCATTTTTGATAATTATTTAGATGAGGACCGCTCGAGTTGCGCGTGGTTCACAATCACTTCGGTCACACTTGTTCATGGAGTGCCGAATGCATCTGAGTTCATCCGAAAGGCTGTTTCCGGCGTTTCATGAATATATTTTATTTATTAGCCATTTATTATTATTTATTTATCATTTTTTTATTCTATCATTTATTCTCCTTAATATCACGTTTGCTAAATGCCGAGGTAGATGGCAAATTTATTGTAAGCCAGGAATATGTATAACTAATAAATAAAAAATAAAAAATAAATTAATTAATTTGGCATTTGATAACAATATAAAGTATATATATATATATTTATATATAAAGTATATACATCCTTACCTGATGGCGGTGGAGTCGGGCGAGCAGCAGGCGACGATGGCCCAGACACACTTGGAAGGCTTCTTCGGTTGGGGTTCAGTGTCGAAGGAACCTCTGTTGAGGACGCTGGGGGTCGTGGTGACGGGTGTCTGCGGCTTGTCGGGGTTCTGGAAGGGGGGCAGGTAGGGAACGTTGCCCGCAGGCTGGCAAGTCGGTGACTGCATCACTACAAGATGGTGGACCACTAAAGGCTGGACCTGATATTCACAATAAATTAGAAACATTGTCATTCAGTTAACAATAGTATAGTCAGTTCATAGCAAAACGTCAATTAAAGTAACAGTTTAGAAAATCAATACATCCAATATATATTCTACACCATACAGGGTGTCTCAGTTCTTAATGGCCAAACTGTGAGGGGTGATTCTAGACAAAGTTTCCATAAAAAGTGCATTTAAAAAAAAAAAATTAAATTTCTGTTAAGAGGGTAAGTGAAAGTTGTGTGATGCGCGTACCACACCAGATTATTTATTTATTAAAAATATCAAATAGCTTATTTTGTATATTATCCGAAGTTCTCAAGACTCCAGAGAACTATTATCTTCCTTTTTAATTTATATATAGTTCGTTGAAAGCTATCAAAAATAGCTATATATATATATATATATACATATAGCTAACCTCAACTAACCAGGATTAATATATAATATAACATAATAAGAGATTAATAATCCCATGGAAACTATAGCATTTTAAGAGGCTTTCGGCATGAATTGTAATTTATTTGAAAACGTAATATTTTTGGGCTTCAGAACGCAGATCATTAAGTCCTTCCCTTCTGAAACCTTCTGAGTCTTTACACCTCTAAACATTTCCAATGATTTTTATTAAAATTTTAGGAATTTAAATGTTCTTTTAGACATTTCACAAAACTATGAGAAACACGATCATCTAATTTAATTAATATAATTAAATATATAAAGTGCCACTTTTGGTTTGCAGAATTTGACAAAAAAGTTGTTGTAACATCCCAGGCATATACAAACCTTAAATACGCAATTTCAGTTACGTAAAACTTTTAGTTTGTGAGCAAGACTGTGTAAACACAGACAACATTTTGCGAGACTTGGTTATTTGGACTCAGAGAACCTCAAATTGTTTAATTCCGTCAAAAACTCGAATTAGTAAATTTTCACGATCGCTTACTATGTATTTCATATATAGGCAAGGGAAAGTAAAAATCTAATTTAAAGGAGAATAAAATAAATTACTTTTTCATTATTTTGTTATATTACTATTAATAATATAGCAGTATGATATGTTACTGACCTGCTGGAAGGGTGTGTATGGATTTGGTTGTGGGTATTGTATAACGGGGTAATAACCACCGTAAAACCAGTTCCTCTTGACTTGCTTCCTCTCAGCTTGTTCCTGGCCCTCCCCAGGTTGGGGTCCGGGCCCCAGGCCCTCCCCCCTGAGGCTAACCACAGCTGTCAACATCAACAGCCACTTCAGCATCTAAAACAGCAAGATAAGAAATTAATTTCCCTACAAAAGGAAAATTTTTTTATCGAAACCGCATAATTATTAGCAAAAATACAGCTTATTGAAATTTGAAAACATACTGGTTCCAAACATGAAAGAAGTTGTAAATTATTTGTTGTTTCCTTTGTCAATTATATATATTTAGCGAGAATTGTGAATGATAATTAATATAATCAAGATAATACTGGATCTACTGAGGGTCCCAATTTCTCACAGGGAATGGATTTCTCATGGGAATGGATGGAGGACATTGATCCTCTATGTCCTCGCTGCGGATTTGCGGAGACCGCTGAACATATTATTGTGGTCTACAGCGTATTTGAGGCACTTAGGGCTAAACTTCTGAGGGAAACGAGGCTCTACGTCCTATCTAAGAACGATTTTCCTCAGTTGGTGACCGACGAGAACTACCCGTTTTTTTAAGTCCTTCATTTACGGGTGGAAAACTGCAGTTGGCCCTGCAGATTTTAATATACCAAGAAGAATCATTAGCTAGACGACCACCGGACAGAGGAGGCAAAGAAGAAGAAGATGGAGACCGCCTGGAAACGAGCACATGACGCCTATGCTGTGATCGCTATGATCGATAGATGTAAATTGGCAACATTTGCATACTCCACAAATTTGCCAACACCCGTTTTGCCCGAAGGTAAGGAAGGGCGAATAAATAAATAAAATTATTGTAAACCTATAAATATAAATAATAAGTTTATATCAATTTAGTTGTGTATTAGATCGGGAAAACCTCCTGGGGCACACCCAGCCTCTATAAAGTGGGTACTCTTAATTAAATAATTATTTAAGGGGAAACATGGCGGTAGAGCGTGATATCGGCCGAATCATCTCCCTGAACAACCGCTGGCCTAGTAACAGTACTTCCTCACACTGACCCTTCACGGGTTGTAGTGGTACAGGTATATCTTCTTCTTTTTAATCTATCCTTTTTCGGGATGTCATTGTAATGTACGGGACCCGCTTGTTGAGCCTCGTCTAAGTACATCCATTTCCTGAACCAGTTTTCTTCTCTGCCTCGTTGCAATGTCCCTCTTTGCTTCCAGGACTTCCTCCTGACCTCCTTACACCAGTTCCTACTTCACATTCCACTTTCCTCGGAGATTCTTGAGACCCATTATCAAGAATATTGTAAACATGTTTTAAGTGTGTAATTAAAAAAGGGTTTTGATACATAAATAATCATATATAATTTAAACATAATTATTAAAACTCTCACAAATAAATTTAAATAACCTCAATAAGGTTGTTTATCATAAATATTATATATTAATTTTAGTAAAATGGCTATAAAACGTTTAAAACGAAAAATTTTCGGTTCTGAGAAAAAAACATTTCTTTTATCCTTTCACATGATCCCTTTTATGATTCACATGATGGGAGAGTATTTTTAATTAAAAAAAAAAAATACTTTCCATTTTATAGCGAAGAGTTGAGCAAGAAACCATTAAGAGAAAACTTTTGTTTTGTATGATTTTAACAGGACCAAGGGCTTTCAATGGAAATTAGAAAAACCACTAGCTGGATTCTGCCCAAACCAAATACACGTTATATTAATCCTGTTTGTAATATAATCCTCCCTCCATTTTGGACAATAGCGGCTACCCTCTTGATACAGAAGTTTCTTGCCCGGGGGCTTGGAAGGTTCGTCGAATCGGAAGACCAGCCTGCTCGATAGCAACTGTCGACTAAGGATTCTGAGGCACAAGAGATCCTGAGTCCTTTGTTATTAATTATCTCCTGATTTAAATTATCATCCCCCAGTAAGTCCTTTGAGTTCAAATGGAAGTGTTCTACAACCGCACGGTTATATTAAACGGAGCACTCGTAGCATAAATGGGTTAGTTCCATTTCTCTTTCACAGAGTCTCGATGTACGATATACTCATAGAATGTAGGGTTTTATCTGATCTTCAGTTTGCTTAAGCTCATAGTAGTGTAACAAAAAAAGATCGAGTTTCGTAGAAAAAAAAAAAAGTAATTTCTCACCGTTTCATTGATTATAGAATTACATATATTTCAAGATCTACGATTTGCTGTTTGAGAATAAAATCCACAGAAGTATTTTTTGAAGCATATTATTGTTAAGGAAAAACACACACCTGAGCAAGATAAGTCGATGAAATTTGATAAAATCAAATTTACAGCAATATTTGAATACCCGCCAGGCCGACATTACAATGCTATTTTTATTTCGTAAACAGTTTCAAAAATAATATCGTTCTGATAATATTTTATTTTAATGATAAGGGGCTATTATAAACGAAGGTTATCACTCTGTTTATTTCTTTTTCAGGTAAGACGAATATCAAGTTACGTGAAAAGAGAAAATGCTGGTTAATATGTGAGATTAATTATAATTTATAATATGTAGAATTATTAAATATACATACAATATGTATGTTTTATGTATGTATATATATATATATATGCGTATACATAGTTATTAAATAATGTATAATCGTTAAAATAATAACATTTTTGTTTATTCGGGAAGTTACATTTGTTATTTACAGGCCCTTTCCTTGTTTTCCAACGGCGACCCCGTATCCTGGACAAAGGACGAATTACCTGACAAGGACCTCTTTGTGAAGAAAATCCGTCCAGTAAATCCATTTAGACTCCGGCGGCCATCTCCTGCTTATCCCCGGCTTGTGGTCAAGGTCCCTATAAATAAACCGGCTTGACGGACTTTGGGCCAATGGGATTTCTTCACAGGGATCATTACCGAAGATGAAACGGTGACAGGCTTTGTACACTGTTTTTGTAAGGTCTTATTTTGGATTTCGAGCTTGTTTTGATGTTTTTTTAACCAATGTTTTCAATATCTCTATTTAACTTATTACAAAAAAGAAAAAGAAAAAAAAAAGAAATGTAGTACTCATATGTAATTCAGCTAAATTTGAAATTGATAAATACTTGAGAGCATTTTTATAGTACCTAGTACCAGGATATTTTTATTAAAATATTCAACATCCACTTAAAACTTCGCGAATGGCCACATCTTATTGTAACCTACAAATTTCTTATCTACGAAAATTCTCAGAAATGGAGTGTTTTCTCATTAAATTAATGGCCTATATAGGCTTGTTATTTTGACAAGTTGGGGGTTGAGGTCAAGCCAAACGGCCCAATATTTTTTGTAGGCCACTTTTATTCTCGATTTTGTGATCTTATGTTACGATTCAAGTAGAAAGCAAATGGGTGTTAATGAGTTACTGTACCTAATTAATTAGAATTCAAAATTTGCAGATCTTCAAACTGGGGGGTATCCCCCAAGTAAAAAAAAAAAAAAAAAAAAAAAAAATGTAGTACTCATATGTAATTCAGCTAAATTTGAAATTGATAAATACTTGAGAGTATTTTTATAGTACCTAGTACCAGGATATTTTTATTAAAAAAAAAAAAGTTTTACATATATCTGTAAAAATGCGAAAATGAAGATATCTTTCCAACATTTCCGTCAGTTCACGACTAGATGCGACTTGTGTCTTCCCAGAGTACTGGACCTCACAGATTCTTACGGAGCATGGCGGTTTCCAAGCTAAACTCGTTGGGTATGGTAGACATATCGATCCCCTTTGCCCAAGTTGTAGAATATGTATATGGATCGCTGAGCCTGTTGCACGTATCTGTACCGCATATGAATCACAGAGGACAAAACTGTTGAGGGAGACAGGTCTCTTTGTTCTAACAGAGAGAGATCTTCCTGAACCCAGGGCCACAGACAAATATGTATACTTCAAACATTTTATATACGGATAGAAAGACGTTGTACTACCAACCCTCTTTTCACTGGGAAGAAGAGGAGAAGCTGGACCGGGGAGGCCGACAGAATAAATAGAAGAAAAGCAGACGAGACACAAGTGAAGAGAAGAGCCAGCTGTTGTGTGTACAGCTGAGGAAGAGAAATATAATAGTTTAAAAATGCAGCAGTGGATTGTTATATAACAATTACATCCCTTAAATAAATAATTACCCGTATTGCCTAGAGGCAGGGGAGGGTTGAAAATAAATAAACAAAAAAAAACATTCTAATACTGTCCTACTTGGCTAACATTTAAAAAAAAACACTTGTCAAATATTACTTAACGAAACATTATGGATATAATGTTACTATATAGAGATAGAAACACGAGTAATCTTAAAAAAAAAAGAAAAGTTTTTTGGGTCTCGTAAAGTATTAAGTTTTGCAACAAAAAATTGTAGTTGAAGAGGACGCAGAAGCTGGGAAGAGTTTTCCCGAGAGAACGCCAGCCAATTAGAAACGAGAGCCGGACTAACGAAGAAGAGAATTTAGCCAGGGCAGCTGGGCGTCGCCTGGCAATTGCTCAAATTACAGCTTGTCTCCTAGTTATATTGAATTAGCAGCGAATAATTTAAATTATAGTTCGCTGTTTGTCCCATTTATTTCATTAACAAGTCCAACAACATGTGATTTGTTCATTCAATGATCCAACTGGAATTATATATCGGAGTCACACAATGTCAGATAAATAACATCTATGTATCAAAAACTCAGCATTTACAGTTACAAAATTTTTTTTTGTTGAATATATTTACAAACGTATTAATATATATATATATATATATATATATATATATATATATATATATATATATATATATATAGTAAATTTGCACTCTGGAGTATAATAATATGAAAACGCTCTGTTGAGAAACTACCCACTGGTAGCACTCAAATAATAAATTTACACAATAAGATCACAGTTATCAGGAATCGAGGAGGAAGCAAGGTTTGAAACGAGAGGGTTCGGATGGTTCTGAAGTTTGTTATGGAAGGATATGATCGGACCAACTCGGAAACATATGGAGTATAAGGATTATATTATTTGTAACAAAGTAACGAGCATTGAGGATTTTACGAAGGATTTTGGATACGAGAGGAATTTAGTGGAGCCCCAAAGCTCGATTCCGTAAGTCCAAATAGGTCTTATGTCT